TTCTGATTTTTCTAGCCGGGTTACCCTTATTTGGTTAGCCGTGTCACGTGGCACGTGACTTAGCCGGATAACAATATCCTTACGATAATGAAGATTCTAATATGATTAATTTGTTTGGTGTAGTTCCTTTTATTGCACCAGAAGTTATTCACCTATAAATCAGATGTATATAGTTTTGGAATTATTATGTGGATGTTTTCCTCTGGAACTTTACCATTCTGTACTCGTAAATATGATGAATATTTGGCACTAGACATATATAATGGTGCAAGAACTCAAATAATTGATGGAACTCCATCTTGTTTTATAAATCTTATGCAAAGATGTTGGAATATCGAACCTGAAAAAAGACCAATTTCTTCTGAAATTTATGATATAATTTGTTCATGGTATTATCTAAACAATTATAAGGAATTTAAAGCCGCAGATGACATCTTATTATCAAAATATGTGCAAGATATTGAATTTCCAGTTATACAAAATGCCACTAACTCCTTACATTTAAATGATCAAAACAACTCATATCATAGCTGTAGAATTGATTTAAAGTTAATATCGACTACTAGTCTATTTCAAGGTATTGAATTTAATTTTTTTTTTTAAAAAAAAAATATGGTTTATTAATCATAAAAATTTTAGATACAGATCAATTAAATTTGGAAATAGATAACTTCTTGTAACCTAACCAAGAATTGCTGATTGCAGAGAAATTAATAATATGAACCCCGGTAGATTCTAGGTAATATATTAGAGATAGTCTAGATATCCAAAAAGTCATATAGTAGCTGGTAAATCCATAACACAAATTCTGGGAAAAATAAAATTCTATTTCATTTATTTTGTTCTTGTTAAGTTAGTTAGTATGGTAAAAAGTGTTTATTGATCTATGGATTTAAATTAATATATCGGAAAGGGTATTTTATTAAAGGCGGTTAAGTCGTCTTTTCCCCTTTTATTAGGCGCTCCTAGGTTTAGTTGGCGGTAGAATTACTGAATTACGGCATTACGGCATTCTACCATGTGGTAGAATTAATTCTACCTGATTGCCGTAAATATTATACGTCGTAATGCCGTAACCGTAATGCCGTAACCGTAATGCCGTAACCGTAATGCCGTAACTGTAATGTCGTAACCGTAATGCCGTAACTGTAATGTGGTAATCCGCATTGATTAAAATTAGTATACTTATGCAAACCAATCAAACTTAAGATTCGCGACATACCCATTTAAAACACCAT